TTTTTATAGATGAAAATGATAACTTTGAATAACTGATAGGACTTGCTGATGTACTATAATAGAATGGCAAAGAAAGTGAAGATTTAAGAAGGACTCTCAATTTTGGCATAAACTACTAGATAGAAATCAATGATCGCAGTAGACTGAATAATGACCTTCCAACATCTCTCCATGTCCTAAAAGTTAGATACCTAACAAAATATATTTTCTGACTATAAAGAAATGAGGTTAGAATCAGAAACCGAAGAAAAACCAGAAAATCAACAAACTGTAGAAATTAAAAAAAACACTCTTAAACAACCAAAGAATTAATGAAAAATATCACAAGGGAAATTTAAAAATGAAAATTCATTATTCTTAACCTTTTAGGACTCAGCAAAACTAGTTTGAAGGGAAAAATGTATACCTATAAAACCTTACAATAAAAAGTATCTCAAATTAACAAACTTTATAGTATAAGTAACTTTACACTGTATGTAACTGGAAAAGGAAGAACACATGGAATCCAAAACTAGCAGAAGAATGTAAATAATCACGCAAGAAAGATAAATATTGGTTGCAACCAAAAATACAAAACAAAGAAACAGTAAAAGACAGTTCTCTCAAAAGATCAACAAGATTAACAAATCATTAGTTAGGTTGTCTATGAAAAAGAGACTCAAATTACTAAAACCAGAAATGAAAGTAGGGACAATATAACCAACGCTACAGAAATAAAAAGAATTATGAGAATACTATAAACAACCATGTGGCAACACATGAGATAACCAAGATGAAATGGACAAATTCCCAAGAATATAAAACCTACCAAGACACTTTAGTCCATTGGTCTATATGTCTGTCATATGCCAGTTTCATACTGTTTTGATTACAGTGGCTCTGTAGTAAGTTTTGAAATTAGGAATTATGAGTCCTCCTCCTCTGTTCTTTTTAAAAATTGGTTTAAAGTATTCAGGGTCACAGGATATTCCATTTGAATTTTACAACGAGTTTTTGTATTTCTTCAAAAGATGTCATTGAGATGGGAAGGTAGTTAATGCAACTCATCTCACTAAACTTTACACTTAGAAATGGTTATGGTGATAAATTTTATGCTGCACATATTATGTCACATTACATTATTGAGGTACAAAAAGATATTCATATCTAATCTCTGAAGCCTATGAATGCTACTGCTATGGTCTGAATATTAGTGTACCCACAAAATTCATATGTGGGTAATAGTAGGCAGTGCCTTTTGAGAGGTGATTAGGTCATAAAGGCTCTTCCCTCGTGATTGGGATTAGTGCTCTTACAAAAAAGAGTCCACATAGCTAGCTAGCACCTTCCGCCATGTGAGGACACAGTAAGAAGACACCATCTATGAATCACTCAGGAACTGAGCCCTCAATAGACATCACATCTGTTAGTACCTTGAGCTTGGACTTCCCAGCCTCCAGAACTGAGAAATAAATTTCTGTTGTTTGTAAGCTACTCAGTCTGTGATATTTTTATAGCATCTTGAATAAACTAAGATAGTTACCTACTATATAGCAAAGTTTTTTGTTTGTTTGTTTGTTTGTGTTTTTTTGATTCAGAATCTCACTCTGTTACCCATGCTGGAGTGCAGTGGCATGCTCATGGTCACCTCAGCCTTGACTTGCTGGGCTCAGGTGATCCTGTCGCCTCAGTTTTCCAGGTAGCTGGAACCACAGGAATGCGTCACCACGCCTGGCTGATTTTTTTTATTTATTGTAGAGGCGAGGTTTCACCATGTTGTTCAGGCTGGTCTTAACCCCTGAGCTCAGATAGTCCTCTTGCCTCCGCCTCCCAAAGTGCAGGGATTACAGGTGTGAGCCACCACACCTAACAGCAAAGTTTTTATTTTTATTTTTTTAAAGACTGCAGAAATTAAGTTAAGGATCTTGAGATGGGGAGATTATCCTGGATTATCCAGGTGGGCCTATGTACAATCACATGTATTCCTATAAAAGGGAAGAAAAGGAAAATTTGAACACAGAAGAAAAGCAGAAAGAAATAATACCACCATGGAGGCCAATATAAGAATGATGTGACCACAAGCAAAGGAACGCTGGTAGCCACCAGATCTGGAAAAGGCAAAGATTGAATGTTTCCCTGGAGTCTTCAGAGATATTACAACACTGTAGATACTTTGATTGTTGGCCCAGTGAAACTGATTTTAGACTTCTGGCCTGCAGAATTATGAGAGAATATATTTCTGCTGTTTTAAGTAATCATGTTTGCAGTAATTGTTACAGCAGCCACAGAACACTGATGAAGTGACATTTACTATAGTGAGGAATCCTTGAAAGGGATGAATAGAGGGAAATCAAATTTTTTATTTGAACTTTTGATTCTGGACTTCTTATTTCTGAGGTGCCTATGAAATATTTGATAATGTGCATCAAATAAACATATAAAGCAATACAACTAGGTGTGATTCCCTAGGGAGAAAGTATAGCAGAGAAAGCAGAGCCCAGGCCTGAGACTTACAAAAAGAGAACATTTGGGAACTGGAGATCGAGACTCCACTAATGAGACCAGTAAGGGGCATCTGGTGAGGAGGAGAGCTTATAGTCTTAGAAAACAAAAGAAAAGTAGTGTTTAATGAACTAAGGAGAGATCAAGAGTTTTAAGTGCTATTTGCAGGTCAGGTAACTTTGAATTTGTTAACATGGAGGTCATTTGTTGACCTTGAAAGAGGCAGTTATTTCAGAAAGAGACAGGAACAAAGACTGGATTGGCTGAAGAGAATGGGAGCCAAGGAACAGGAAACAGCATGGAGATGTCCCTTTGTAAAACTGCCTGGAATATTCAGTCATATTAATCAGGTTACTAAATCTCATAGTGCAATCTAGAATTTTGTAGAATTGAGACAATTCCATTTGTGATACCTAGTATTCCTTTCCAGTTAGAAAAAAGAAAATATATGTCCAAGTGTAGAAGTCCATAGGTCCCCTGGTACTGGTCTGTGGCCGTTAGGAACCGGACCACACAGCAGGAGGTGAGTGTCAGGTGAGTAAGTGAAGGTTCATCTTTATTTACAGCCACTCCCCATTACTCGCATTACCACCTGAGCTCTGCCTCATGTCAGATCAGCAGTGGATTAAGATTTCCATAGGTGCGCAAACCTTATTGTGACCTACTCTTGTGAGGAATTTAGGTTGCACACGCCTTATGAGAATCTAATGCCTGATGATCTGAGGTGAAGCTGAGGCAGCAGTGAGGTTTGACTACACAGAGACCATGATCAATCAATTGCTTGCAGACTCATATCAAAACCCTATCAGTGAGTGGCAAGTAAGTTGATGTACTTCAATTATACAACTGCATCTGGTGGCAGGCTTTAAGTTAGAATCCAACACATTTTAGCCCTTGCGTGGCCTGCTCATTATTTTGTTTACCACTTCTTGTGTGCGCCTCTTTTTTTTTAATGGTTAATTGTAATTATTTCATAATATACTACCATGTAGTAATAATAGAAATAAAGCATACAATAAACATTATGCTCTTGAATCATCCTAAAACCACTCCCAGCAACTCTTGGTCCGTGGAAAAATCATGAAACCTGTTTCCATGAAACTGGTCCCTGATGCCAAAAAAGGTTGGGGACCTGTAATAGTCAATTGTCTGCTAAGTTTTGTTTTTTTGTTCTTTTTTTTTTTAAGGAGATAGGGTTACTCTGTAGTCCAGGATAGAATGCAGTAGCATAATGATAGCTTACTGCAGCCTCGAATTCCTGGCCTCAAGGAATCCTCCCAGTTTGGTATCTCAAAACTCTGTGATTACAGTCTGCAAGTCAACATGCCTGGCCTCATTGTCTGCTAGTGAAAGGATGTTTTTAAAACATCTAGATTATGGCCACTGTCTCCCAAACCTGGTATTAGGGAGCCTTAATCTGAATTTGAAAATCCTGAATGATCTACTTGCACTTAAAGTGTATTTAAAGCCATAGCAGGTAAAATAGATCAAATGAATATACTGATAATAACAAGCTGTGTGTGTCACATTATAAAGAATTTATTTTATTGTTATCTTTTCTCAAATGTTTATACTCTTAGAAAGCAAACACTAATGAAAAAAACTTCTATTTGAGTGCAAGACTACGTATTTTTGATATTGCAGAGTAAAAACAATCATGGGTTGTTTTCAATGTAAGAAAGATTTCCCTACTAGACAGTATTGTACATTTGAGAATACTATTGCTCATTTTAAAGATGATATAAACACAATATTGTGATTTGGAAAAACTATTTAGTCTTTTGCCAGACCTAATCATATTAAGTTTATCTCTGGATGCCAGGACTAAAAATGTTAATTTCTCATGGCTTAATTCGATTAAAACTTTAACACATGAACAAATGTATTTTGGCAACTTAATACTGTTTTCATATATTTAAACATTATTAATTGATTTAATTAAAATATTAAAATAGTTTATCCAATTTTTTTAAAGCGATACTTTAAAAAATATTTTCTCCATAGGTAAGCTTTCTTAAAACGATACGAGAGAGAGAACCCTTTTCTGCTAAAAGATCAAGAACTTTCAATATGTAGAAAAAAATGTTTAAATCTCACAAGATTTCCTGATTCTAAAATAATCATGTTATATAGTTACACACGTTTATGCATGCAATTAATATGTATATGCATATATGTATGTGTGCTATGTATATGAAATATTTTAGTTAAAGATATTATATATGGATATAAATCTGATACATATCTAATTCATTCTGTGAAAGTTTTTTAAAAATCATGGACTAACATGTGGAAACAATTTATACTCCTCAAAAACACATAGACAACCAGATTGCTTCTGCTCCTGGGAAGTCCCTGGGAGAGAAGGAAAGAAATTCCTGCTTGATATGACAAGAGGTGCTTCCTGGAAGTCCAAACATGAAAATAGAAACAGATTGACTTCCTTGTCATCACAGAACTCTCATGGCAGGGAGTTGGGCTCGTACTTGGATCTTTTCTGTGTCTGTAACACAGGTTACCTAAATAGCTATGTGCCGGCTTTTCCTCCACAACTTTGATTCTTCTTGCTCCAGCAGGTATCACCAGCACTTCTACGTAACCTGGAAGAGTCAATAAGACATGAACTAAATCTTCAGTTCTTTTAAAATTTCTTTTCTTAATTGACTTGCCTTTTTTCCCCTTGTGGTTTTGGTAATTGGTGTGATATTTCAATACCTATGTAAAGAACACTTTTTTATGCATAAAAGCTGCCATTACTTCAAGCAGAGAAGTTTCTTGGAAAGATGTTGAGCTTACAGCACTATTGAAGACAAATAGGCAATTGTATTTTATGCAAAAATAGCTCACTGATACCTTATGAATTGTGAGGAGAGAAAAGGCCCAGTGGAACAACCCAGTTAGAAACAGCAGTTCTTGGAACAGAGCAACTAACCCCAAACTGTGCTCTGGGAACTCCTTTAATTTAGAAAGTGTGGGGAAGAACAACATATACTTGGAGAGAATACAGCTGGCCTGAACCAGGTCCCTGGAGGAGTGAAGTACCAAGCATTCCCTGGAGGATATTAACCAAGATTTTGAAACTTGAGCTGAAGACAAGTAACTATAAGGTTGCACCATGCGATCTAGTGTCATTTCCAAACCTGCAAGACAGCTAGATGTAATACCCAATTAGGTGCTTCTCAGGAAAGATTTTTTCAGCAGAGGTAGAAATATAATGCTTGAAGTAAAATAAAATAATAAGATAAATTGGGGTAAAAAGAGAGAATGTGCAAAAAAAAAGAGTCAAGGTTTCACCTAGTGCAGAACATTGATAGAACAGATGTTAGTTATGTTTCTAAATTATATGAAAATAATACATAATATTCTTGTGCAGATCCATTTATCTTATAAAAGTCTAATTTTAACACTTTAAAAAAGGCACAATAATTAATTCTGGAGTTGTCTCCTGTTTTACTTAGCGCAGAACAGTCATAGAGCAGAAGTTAGTTATGTTTTTAAATTATGTTAAAATAATACAAATTATTCTTCTTAGCATTTCTGTGTAGATCCATCTATCTTATAAATGTCTAATTTTAAAGTTTTTAAAAAGGCACAAGAGTTAATTCTGGAGTTGTCTCTTGTTTATTAATTATTCAAATTGCTGAAAATGTTTAGTTATTTGGCATATACCAAAAGATAGCATATACCCCACCTGGTGGTAATGACTGGAATTAGAAACAAGTGCTTTTATAATCAAAATTTCCATTCAAGAACACGGCTTATTTAAATTAACCATTGAATCACAGATTTTGGGTAGCACCAAACCAATTTCAATAATACCATATATAAAGGCACTATCATTTTGGTACATGAACAAAATAGGCACCAATGAAAATAGAAAAAATGTTCAAGGGCTATTTGTACAAAGAAGTAACGTAAGATGGTCTCTGCCCTCAATGAGCTTATAATTGAATTGGAAAGACAAGGTAGAATTATATTATGCAAATATGAGTGAAAAATCATTGCAACATTGTGTTAATAATAATTTACAAGATGATATGGTTAATTCTCTGCTAAAGATTATAAAACAGCTACTCTCTTCTGGTAACCACTCAAAATTTGCTATTTTTACTCAGAGATAGAATTTTTTACCTGTTAAGTAGTAATATACATTACTCACATTTGAGAAAGGCCAGTGTCAGCTAGAATTACTATTATTAAAGTATAGAATAATTCATATAAGCCAAAGAAATTTTTATAAAGAATAAATAATTTGTCTTTGGAAAATTGGTAAAATTCAGATAGCTACACATTAAGAATGAGTTCATTATAGGTAAAGAATAAGAGATATGGGGTGTTTTAGTAGCACTAATATTCTAATGGTATGAGAAAATGTAAGAAGGTGGCTCTATCAAAGAGAGTTTACACGCATGCCCAGGAGAATGAATTTATCAACTTGATATTACTAAACTGAATATAGCAAAGATCTTGGTAGTTAGATCTTGGCTTGAAGAGGCTTTGTCTAATAGCAATATGCAAGAAGAACAGGGATATAGTTGTGGATAAGTGCCAGGAGGTTTATGTTGAAATCTAGGAGTGGCAGAGGCAAAGGCAAAAAATCCAGAAGGCACTGTAAAGAAAAAAGTAATCTGAACCTGGTAACCGATAGAAAGAGAGAAGAATAAACACCAAACACAATGCTTTATTATTAGGAACATCATTTATAGGAACATCGAAGCCACAAGAGAAATAACCTAGGTTTGACAATAATTTGATAAGTTTGGCTTTGCAATTTGTATCTAACAAAATGGTACAACACATTAGTAAAAACATCCAGTAAGAGCTCTGAAATATTTGAACTTCTCTAGAAAGATCAGGCTATTGACAGACTTTGTGAAGTATCCTCGCAGAAATAGTAATTTAAGTCATGGAAGTAAGTAAAGAAAATCAAGAAAGAAGAGATTTGTCAAGGACTTGACCTTGGTGACAATAGTAGTTTTTAACAAAGACATTTAAGATAAACAAAACAAGAATAAATAATTATAAGATGGAGATCCAGTCTATTTGGGTACTGAGGTCCTATGGATGAGAATATCTCAATAAAAATTGCTGGTCAACTGTTACAAGCTGTATGTTAAATAAGAGACATCAAAGAGAAAGGTGACTAAGGAGAGTCCACTGGGTATAACAATCAAGAGATGACTATAAGTATCTGAGCAAAGACATTCAGTAAAGTGTTTGGAAATGTTGATTCAGAATGTTAAAAAAGAAGAGCAGATAGAACAAAGTACAGGAAGTATGTGTAACCTGCTGTTTAACAGTTCCCTCTGAGGTACACTGTACATTAGAGCAATAGCTTTATCTATATTCATAGTTATTTTAGAATAATTCTCTATTATTGAGTCAAAATTGCTCAGTAGGTGAGTTAGATTGATTTTAAAGAAGAAAGGCAGAAAAATATTAAGCAAAGTCATATGAAGAAAGAAAGCCAGTGACTGGAAGTTAGATATTTTTTACTAAATAAGCCATTTGGCAAAAATTAGAATGTATGCTTTTAAAAGAAGTGAATATAAGAGTGGTTACTGCCTGACTTAGAAGTTGGAACATGAAACCAGTGAAGTCAAGGTCATAAATTTTATCTTTGTGCTTTGCACACAGGGGCATCCTATTTTATAACCAGAGATCCCATTCTTAATCAGTCATCTTCCAATGTCAGTAGCAATCTTCATCTTCATGGTAGCATAATAAAGCAATCAATGCCATATTTTGAATGACTGCTATGTGGTAACCACTACTGTAGCAACTTTATATGAATTATTAATTTTAACCATAATGACAGCCTTCAAGGTAGACACATTTCTCACTTAATAGATGAGAAAATAAAGATTGAGAAAAAAATGCAATTTTCAGCACTGCATTATCAGTAATTAGCTGACCAAAACTGAACTCAGATCTGTCAGTTTCCATTGTTCACTTCCTGCTATAACCCACTGCCACTGTTTCATAAAATAAAATAAAGTAGTTGACAATATGACTCTTCCACTGCTATGGCAAGCAACCAGTGAAAAAAACAAACAGAAAAAGCTGTAAGAGCATGTCTTCTTTATACAGGTTAATATCTTCATCTTCTTATAGTTAGAATAACAATCTATGTATATATTTAGAAAACATTTTGATGCTCATTTTCTTCTTAGTATATACTGATAATTAACTGGCCAAACACACAATTTATCTTTCGTTCCTTTAAAATTGTATCATGTGGCTAGTTACATTGCAATGAAAGACATTAGAAAGTACTAAGGAAAACACACACACACACTTCTTGAATTTATTTTCCAGCTCCAACAAAAATGATTTAGCAACTTATAAATAGAGCACAGGGAATAAAAACATCCACATGTGTCTGCACGTGTGTTACTCATACAATATATATGGTGTGTGTGGCCAACTGGGCGAGTAAGGCTACAAGTCCTTCAGGAGATTCTAGAGAGACCATAAACAATAGGGACAAAGTTGTCTCAAGAGAAATGAATATAGCATTCCCAAGGCAACAAATAGATGGAGCCTATGATAAAATTAATGACACATTCAGAATTTTAAAAAATTTAAAGTTATGAACAATGTAATATTTCATTATTAATTGAATTAGCAAATGTTAACGAATTGCATACTATGCTGATACCAATATGGTGTTAAGCAAAAATAGCAGGTTAGTTGTACTCATGGAGCTTAAGATCTAATGGGGAAAGAAAGACAAATGAACATGAAATTGCAAATGTAACTGAAGCTACACTGTATGGATACAAATCTACAAAGCATCATTTAACTAGTCATTGGTGATAAGAGGCAGAAATTGTTCAGGGATCACTTTACTAAAGAAGTGACATTTAATGCGAGATCTAAGTAATATCTAGGAAATCACCTGGCAAAGTCAGGAAGAAGCTGATAGATCCACATTTGGAAATGCAAGGTGTGGGGAAGACAAGGTGGAAGAGATAAGAAGCAAAGTGGTTGGGGGGAGCATGGTCAGTTTGAGTACCTGTTATAACTTAGACAAGAAAGGTAACCTCTATGTGAGATAAAACTGAAGAAATAGATAGGGACAACCATAAGATCCAAGTTAAGAAGTCTGGTTTCTGTCCTGCCAGCAATGTGAAACTAAAAGAGTTGTAAGAAAGGTGACACTCTTAGTCTTTAAGATTCATAACATCTTAGGCATCTCAGACATTTTCCAAATAACAGATGCTATTAAAATAACTTATAGTGAGCAAAAAAACAAAAGTAGAAATTAAAGTGCAATAAAAGCAGAGGGTTTGAAGTAGAAATCTAGGAAAAGATGTATTCATATAACTATAATCAGAGAGAAAAGTTTCACTGATTTTTAATGATATTTCTGTTTTCTATGCCTTGTGGAAATATGAAACGTTATTACAATTACCTAAGGCATCAGTGCTAAATGGGAATCAATATTCTTCCATGAATACTAAATAACTTATAATAGTAATTTATGATAATAATTAAGTGTGCTTATAATATTTTCTGCCTGATTGTGATGGGATATGTTTTTATAGTACAGAAGCTCAGGTAAAATCTGAAAGACTGAAGAAATTAAAAAATATTAGAATTTTTAAAGAGTATTAATTTATAAAGCACATTTCTTAGTTAAAAGTATGGGAACCTGCTTCAGTTAAGTATGTTTTTGTCTAGAGAATGTTGTCATATTTTTGACTTGTGTAACCTATCTCCTTTTTCACAGTTTTGGAGACTGATTTTGATCTGCAATTTCTCCTGAGCCTTAGCTATATATAGGTGTCAAGATCTTCAGGCTCACTTATTGGCTCATTTATCTTCTATTCAGTTTAGGTCTAGCAAAAGGTTACAATCAAGCTTTATACATTGTGCTTAATTTTTTTCTGAAGGACTGTTTTATCTAGAATGAAATTCGTTTTCTTGATTATCCAAACATAAATGGCTCATTTTTTATATTAAAATGTATGTATATTTTAGTCTCAGGCTTTTGGGTATTCTTTTTGAACACGGAATTTAAAATAGTAAAATGCTGGTATCTGTAATATAAGCATATGAATGATAAAAATAGCATATATTTAACATAAGCACATTAATGATGAATGTAGAGGTAAATATTTGGATGGTGCACGTGTCCAGGTAAGAGACTAATATAAACACAAAAAATGTTTGCTTTTCTCTAGTAGGCTGAAGAGTCTGAGTATAATACAATTCTGCATATAAACCATATGTTGGGATCATTATATTTCAGTCTAAATAATATCACTTTTTGCTGTAAATTATTTTAAATTCATACTTAATATGTCATTCATAGTCATTTTAACTCAATATCCCCTGAGTATTAGTATTTATAGATGGGAAAACAAAATAAAGAGGATAATCCTACCTATTAATATATTTGGGACATTATTACACATCTTCTGACTCCTTTCAGTTATGGTTTCCATTTCACTACACTGCTATGGACCCTCTGTTTCCAAAAATGCATTCCCTTAAAATTTAGCAAAAACATTAAAATTCTTTTTTAAAAAATGGAAAGCTAAAAACCTGAAGACTAGTATTCTCTCAGGTTGCTTCAGGTAGTTACAAATCATTATTTTCAATTAGACATCTTACTTTCCATTGGAGAATAAGGTCTGTAGAAACCTGATAGCATTAGCCAATGCAAATTAGATTATCCCCTTGCTGTTCTAATTTAACTTAACAGATAACTTCATATTTTCATTATTAAGGAATGGACTTAGAATTTCTGGCTCTTATCACATGCATTATATATCATCACACACACACACACACACACACACACACACACACACACAAATCATATAATACCCATTGTAAAAGTCTTCAATAGAATCAGAACTGTGAACTCTAAGTAAAGTTCTATTTAATCTCTGTCCCCAAAGACTGTAGGGGTTAGTACTTATTTAAAAAATTAAAAATTACCTGCTCCTCTGGTGTGATTAAAATCCCCTTTAATGATTTTGCACGATTTTCCATTGCCATTGCATATACCACAGTGATCTTCCCTTGCAAGAGACCCTAATAAACCATCACAGCCAACTTTCTGTAACAAGGGAATGACAGCACATCATATATTGAAGCGTTTCTTTCTTTTTTTAAACTACTAATTTAGGACAAATCGAGTTTCTATAAACCAGACATATTTAATTGACAAACCTGTAAAATATCATATTTTCTAGTGTAAACTAATACAGGAAACTCATGTCAAATAATATAATCTATAAAATAACCCAAAACAGCAAGACAGTGATGAGAGCATTTTTAAAGTTAAGTAATAATTGATATCATAAAGTAATTAGAAAAAAAATTTTTTTGAGGTGTAACTTACATATATTCCAAAGGAAACCATCATTTCTATTAAATAAAATGTTTAATTTAATTCATTCTACTCAACACAGAACAGATGTACTTCACTGCAAGGATGACTTCACTTTTAAAATGCTGATAAAATAAATGCTAAATATTAAATGTTAACTTTATGGAAAATGGAATATAGGCAGTTATTTTTATCATAGTTCATGGATAAACTGTAGTTTATAGTTTATTCTATCCTCATCTTCTTTGGCATACAGCAAATGAAAGTAACAAATCCTTACAACCCATGGCTGCTACAAGAAAATATGAACAGCTGGTGAATTAAATTTTCATATGTTCCCAGAAGAATTTTGCTAATCTGAATCTTCAAAACCAAATCAATTGTCCCTTTTCTTGAAAATAATGTTTGCTTCTCACCGATGGCCAAATATGCAATCTTATCTTTCAAAGTTGTCCATACTCAAAAGGGCAAATTTTATTATATCAATATTGTCAGAAATAAGTGGTATGATTATACAATTCTTCCTAATTAAGAAGAATTTGGGGGGGAAAAGGCTGATGATAACATTTATAACAAGTTCCAATTATTTCAGCGGAAATTTTAAAATATTAACACAGAAACAAAAACAGGGGATTTGTGATTCATGTTGGTGGTGTTGGGGTGGGGAAAGCTAGCAGATAATTAAATGCAGCTGCAGGATCAGTATCTTGAGAGAGCAAAAGTCACATTAAAACTGTATGATACAGCATCCCTTCCTTTTGTCAAGGGGGGTCTATCAGTATCAAGACATACAAAGTGTTGCTGGAAAACTCTAAACAGCAAGTCAAAGCTCACTCAGGGAGAAAAAGAGAGAATACATCTGGATGAAAGTAATAGTCACCTAAGGGAATCCTCAGACCACAACCAAGTAGACAAAGGGGACATTTAAGCAGGAATCAGACCTGGGAGTCCTGGTTGAAAAAATTAGTCTCTCCTTCATGGACAAATTAGGAAAAATTTACATTAGAGCTTGGAGTGATTTTGAGATGATAAAAGTGTCTTTATTGCTATACCCCTAGAATCCAGACTGTACCTTGGTAAATGATAAAAAACAAATAGTGGTTCAATAATTGAACAGACTGGTACTTTATAATTTCTTAGTTTTTCTTAACTCTATAACTAGCATATTACAAGGTCTCTAATCCTAAAGTAAAATATATATATATATTTTTTTTTTTACTATAGTTCACTAATCATATATTTTACAAACATAAATGAAGGGTTTTGTATTTTATAATTGATATTTTAAGTTTCCACACATATCAAAATATGCTCACATAAATCCAAAGCTGAGGATTAACTACTTTGAAAAGGCAGTGTCACTAGTGGCAGGTATTTGCTGGAGATAGGCAAATAACAGGATCATACTGGATTAAGCCTTCCTTATCCTTTTCAGTAACAGAAACTTCACAGGGTTAAATGTGTCACTGCAAAAAGCTGTCTGTTTTCAATTGCCCTCCATTCACCAAATCTGCAATTTTATATTCAGCTTTGGTGCTATATATTTTGTGATAAACAAAAGCACTCTAGTTAAACACTTCGTTGTCAGATAAAATATGAGAGGTATGTTTTTAATTATATTGAAAAATGGAATGAAGCATTTAAATTAAAAAGCCAGGATCTGAAGTATTCTAATGCCATTAGAAGTCACAATTATTTCAGAGAATTCTAATTTAATTATAACCATGAGGTCCACATAGAATGTGTGTAGAAACTTTGTTGTTGTTGTTGTTATAATTTTAATATCTATCCAGGGACTCTGTAAAATATTTGGTTTATAAAATTTTGTTAAGTGAAAAGCATAGCAATTTTAGGCTATTATATTTGGCATAGCTAAAAAATACTTTTTAGAAAAAATAAATTCATTTAAGACATACAGTAATCTAAGAGATTTACACATACTGATGAAATACAGTTAAAAGTTTTATGCACAACATTTAGTTCTGAAAACAAAATATGGATAGGAAAAATACCTACAATGATTTTTAATGAAAAATTATGCTTTGCTTCTACCACATTTTGTTAAAGAATAAAGGATATTCATATGTAATATTCATATGTAATCACATGACTGTGTCTTATACCAATGGTGTAACATGATTCTATGTTTCAAACCTTGTAGCTTGCGGGCAAAATACAGAATGTTAGAGCTGGGAAAGCATTTAAGTTACATGTTGTTCCCACCTTCTTACCGAGAAGTCCATACATATTTATGATATATCCATAGCTTGTAACTCTTTTCAAATTTTGGTGTGTGTGTTTTCAGGTGTACACTTTCCTGAGAAATTTTTTTTCTATCAAATTCTCAAAGGAGTGTATATAGCAGAAAGTCAGTGATCATTAGTCTAAGAACTTTATTTCGCATATCAGTTAGTGCATTAATAGATATATTAAGTGATTTGCCCAAGAATATTTTCCTAATGGTTGTCATGGATGCACTGCTGCTCACCTCAGTGACCTCTTTCACTGCTAAAGGATATATTTCTCTCTTGTTTCTGGAATTTTTATCAGAAATCATCTAGACTTAAAAAACTGCCATTCCCATGGTCATATCTACTTCCTGGGTCAACTTGTATACAAACACTAGTAGATGCTGGGGATAAAATGACCCGTTTTTTTCTCGTCCCAAATGGTGACAACTCTGAAGACCCATGCTAGCTTTAAGAGCTCCCTACAGGGTCAACTAAGGTATTGTGATGGCACAGCAGCCCAGTTTAACCCTGTGACCGATCCTGCATTAAATTTCCTTCACATTAATCTTCCAGTGGAAGTGAACTTGAGATAGTGGCAGAACTATGGAATCAGCTAAATTCCATCCTTTGATCTTTCCACTATGCTCTTCATACTCACTTTCTTCTATTTTTCTGAAGATAGAACATATAAACGCATATACAAGGGAAATATTTTTTAAAAGGAAGAGAAAGCAAATAAAATGTTTAAGTATTATAAGAAAGTTGAACATGCATTTTAAAATAATTTAAGTATGTTGATAATACTTAAATATGAGTAATATGAACGATTTTATAGGTTTTTGCCTCTTAGCTCAGTATTAGACACAAGGCGAAGAGAATTGGCACGTTTGAATTTTTGGTCTGGACTATTTTGACAAAAAGTGCCTACAGTGTTCCAATTTTTGACCTGTAGTACATATATACATTACACAATAAATAGTTTCAGCTAGTAATAGATTTTATGAAATGCCTAGTCCAAAACTGTCTCTTCACAGATGAAGAAATTGAGTTCCAATATAAATTGGATTTCTCCAAGGTAGGACCATACCCACATCTTCAGAATCTTTCTCCAAAGCTTTCTACCATATTGTAATGCTGCTCACTGGTTCCACAATCCTCCCTCAACATACGAATTCTCCCTTGTGGAATGTCTTACCTGGCACCTGCCATTTGCACAGATATCTAATCCCTGATATCCACAAGAAGTTCCATCCATCACTTTTTCTGAGAGAAGAACAGGCTGTTCTTTTCCAACAGGAGAGCAAAACAAGGCACATGGTTTTTCTATGTGAAATGAATAAAAATAAATGACAAAATGTTACTCCATAAATATTATCACCTTAAATTTTTATTTTCAGAATGGTTATGAGTAAAAAAAAAAAAACTCCATGTGAATTAAGTAATGTAATATTAGAGTAGGCAATACAAGAGGATTATTGTAAGTAGTAAATGAGATGACTAGAACAATGGTAGGCATACAAAGAACATTAATTTCCTTAAGAAATCTGGTTGTAAATTATAATTATTTTTTATTAGTTTTATTTTAAAGATGTGGGGTACAATTCAGTGTTAGGTATAAAAATGGTGATTGTGTAAGTAAAGTTTGGGCCTCCCTTTGAACCCACTTCACCTGGTATGAGACATGAGATCAAGTACCCTTATTGATGAAGTGTGTACCCCCCCCCCAGCAGTTTCCAACTCCTACCAATCCATTTATAGTAGTATTATGATAACTGTTCAGGGTCCACTTATGAGTGAAAACATGTGGTACTCAGTTATTTGTTTCTGTGAAAGATCACTATTATAGACTTTAAATCCATCCAAGTTGCTGCAAAGTTCATAACTTTGTTCTTCTTTATGGCTGCATAATATTTCACCATGTATATGTATCACATTTTTTAAAATCCAGTCTGCTTTTGATGGGCAGCACAGTTGGTTCCATGTTTTTGCCATTATGAATAATGCTGCAATAAACATGTGTGTGCAGGTATCTTTTTCATAGAGTGATTTGAGTTCCTCCGGGTATATTCCCAGAAGGGGGATTGCTGGGTCATATGGAAAGTCGATTTTTAGATCTTTTAGAAATCATCAAACTGTTTTCCAGAGAGGTAGAACTAGTTTACACTCCCACCAACAGTGTAGAAGTGTTCCCTTTTCCCTGTATCTTCTCCAGTATCTGTTGTTTTTTGAGTTATTAATGATGGCCATCCTGACTGGAGTTAAGTAGTATCTCAGTGTGGTTTTAATTTGCATTTCTTTGATGATGAGTGAGGCTGAGCATTTTTTTCGTGTATCTATTGGCTGCTCATGTATTCTTTTGCGAAGTGTCTATTCATATCTTTTGTCCATCTTTCAATAAGGCTGTTTTTTTTTCTTTTTGGCACATTTGAGTTTCTAGTAGATTCTAGATGTTAGGCCTTTGTCAGATATACAGTTGGCAAACATTTTTTCCCATTCTGTGAATTCTCTCTCCACCCTCTTGATATTTCTTTTGCTTTGCAGAAGTTTTTCAGTTTGATAAAGTCCCACTTGTCTATCTTATCTCTGAGGCCATGGACATTTGGGGTTTTGGACAGGAATTGGTTGCCAGTTCCAATTTCCATAAGTGTGTCTTCGGCATTTTCTGAGGTTCTCATAGTTTGACGTTTTACATTTAGGTCTTTGATCCATTTAGAGTTGACTTTTGTGTATAGTGATAGGTAGGGGTCCTGTTTCATACTTCTGCATGTGGTCAGCCAGTTTTCGCAGCACCAGTTACTTAATAGGTTCTCCTCTCCCCAGTGGTTATTAGTGGAAGTTTTGTCGAATATGAGTTGGTTGAGAAACTGAGGTTTTGCTTCTGAAATCTTTATCCTGTTTCATTGGTCTAGATGCTTGTTCTTGTACTAATACCTGGCTGTTTTGATTATTGTAACTTTATAATAAAGTTTAAAGTTTGGAAGTGTGATACCTCCCACTTTATTTCTTTTGCTGAGGATTGTTTTGGCTATTCGTGGTCATTTATGTTTCCATATGAATTTCTGTATTGTCATTTCCAGGTCAGAGAACAATGATGCAGTAGGTAATTTGGTGAGTATTGTGTTAAATCTGTAGATATTCTTGGGTAGGATGGACATCTTAGCAATGTCGATTCTTCCAATCCATGAGCATGAAATGTTTTTCATTTGTTTGTGTTATCTTTTATTTATTTGAGCAATGTTTTGTAGTAGTTGTTGTAAAGTTCTTTAACTTCTCTGGTTAGGAAGATGCCGAGGTGGTTCAGGTTTTTTGTTTGTTTGTTTTTGAGTAGGAGTCTCACTGTGTTGCCCAGGCTGGAGTGCAGTGGTATACTCACAGTCACTGCAGCCTTGACCTGCTGGCTCAGGTGATCTTTCCACCTCAGTCTTCCTAGTAGTGAGAACCACAGGTGAGCGCCACCACACCCAGCTAATTTTTTGATTTATTGTAGAGACAAGGTCTTGCCAAGTTGCCCAGAATGATCTCAAACCCCTGGACTAGGCAATCCTCTCACCTCCACCTCCCAAAGTGCTGGGATCACAGGTGTGAGCCACCACACTCAGAGTATTTCATTTATTTTGTTGCTACTGTGAATGGAATTATGCTTTTTATTTGGTTCTCTGCCTGTTTGTTGTTGGTATGTAAGAATGTGATGGTCTTTTGCATGCCAATTTCATACACTGAGACTTTGCCAAAGTCCTTTATCAGTGCAGGAAGGATTTAACAGAATCTTTTGGATTTTTGAGATATAGAATCGTATCACTGGCAAAGAGGGACAACCTGATTTCTTCTCTTCCTATTTGGATACCTCTGATTTCCTTCTGTTGTCTGATTGCTCTAGCCAGGGTGTCCAACACTATAATGAGCAATGGGAAGCCTTGGCTTGCTCTGGTTTTCAGAGGAAATGCTTCCAATTTTTGTCTATTTAGCAATATGTTGGCTGTGGGTTTATTGTAGATGTATCTTACTAGTTTGAAGTATGTTCCCTTTATGTTTAGGTGTTCAAGGGTTTTTTTCAGGGAGGGATGCTGGATTTTATTGAAAGCTTTTTCTGCATCTAATGATATAATCATGTGATTTCTATTTTTATACCTATTGATGTATTTAACTACATTTATGGTCTTGTGGATGTTGAACCAGCCCTGCATCCCAAGGATAAAGCCTGTTTGCTCATGGTGGATGATTTTTGAGATGTGTTGTTGGATCTAATTTGCTATAATCTTGTTAAGTATTTTAGCATCTATGTTCAACAGGGATATTGGCCTGTAGCTCTCTTTCTTTTGTTGGATCTTCACCTAGTTTGGGTATCAATGTGATGTTAGCTACATAAAATGATTTGGGGGAGAGTTCCATCTTTCTCAATTGCTTGGAATACTTTCAATAGGATTGGTATCAGCTCCTCCTTGTATGTTTTGTAGAACTCCATTGCAAAGCAAGGACCTTTTTTTGTGGGTGGTTTTCTTATGACAGAGTCAATTTTGGGGGTTGTTATTGGTCTATTTAATGTCTCAATTTCTTCTTGTTTCAACCTAGGGAAGTTGTGTGATGTCAGAAAGTCTTCCATTTCATTTAGGTTTTCAAGTTTGGTTCCATACAGGTGTGCATAGTTATCTCTGATAATGTTTTGTATTTCCAGGGTTCATTGTGGTGTGATCTTTTGCATTTCTGATTGTGTTTATTTGGGCTTTTCCTCTCTTTTTCTTGGTCACTCTGACTAGGGGTCCATCAGTCTTGTCTTTTCAAATCTTTTTAAAGCAGCAGCTTTTTTCGTAAATTTTTTTCTATGCTATTTTTTACTTCTATGTCCTTTATTTGGGCTTTTACTTTGGTGATCTGGATTTTTCTGCTGAAGTTAGGGTTTTGGTGGTCAAATTGTTTTCCAAATGTATAATTTATTATGTTGCTGACACAAAACCTCTACCATACACAAACCAATCTTTCTCCCTAAAACATTTTTGCATTTCAAATTTTTGTTCATAATTTTGAAATGATTTCTTATCTTAGACACATACTAGAATTCTACTTATTTTAAAGTCCTGATAAAGATTTTCTTTATCAATGAAGTCTTCCTTGGTGTCTTATCTCTAAATTTCAATACACTATTTTTAATACTGTGCATTTCACATTTTTTAATTGAAAAAATAACTAAAAAGAGAAAGATGAACCTTTAAGATGAGCCATTCTCACAAGATTTCCCATTACAAAGCTATTTAGATGCATTCATTATTATGTGCAATTTTTGATGTGCTAGCAAGAATTTAATCCCTCTTTACCCCTTACTCAGAAAGTGTGTCAGTGTGTATGATAGCTAGGTTGAGAATCATTGCTCCAGCTGAATAACTCTTGAATGGTTGTCAGTCTTAAGTGTCTCACCAAGCAATAAGGTAGGGTGGCATGGGTTAAAACACTTGCCTCTTATGCTCAAAAGGTGGCAAAATATTTTTAAAGTGTTGTTTCTATTTCTAAGCCTCCTACAGAGAGAGCTGTAGTATTTGGTAACACCAGTAGCACAATTATCCAAATCTGAAACTTCAGAGCAATTTCCATGCTACATTGCTACTCTATTGGCTTGACACCAGTCAGGTCCTTTACTGTTTATTAAGCCTGTATAAATAGAATGGAAAATAGTTTACAGTCTCTGACACTGATCTTCCCTTATGTCTTTAGTAAAGTTCCACGTATGCTGATGGGATTCTATAAATACCAAATAACAGCCAGAGGCATGGAACAGGGTATCACTTTGCAAAAAGAAGACAGACAGTTAAATGAGCCTTCAGAATTGAACATTTCAAACAGTTTTCACATGTGGCTTCTGACTACTGCTCTGAACAATTTTGAGGAGTTGGAACATGGCCTTTAATGTGCATGGTTTTGAAATTTTCCTTTAAGATGCCATAATAAGCTGCAATAAAGCATTTCAGTGTGCTCTCACACCTCAAAGTAGGTTATGTTTATTCAATGACTGCTTACTATGTCATATCTTTGGACTTAAAAATAGCTGCTATAATTGAAACACTTTAAAAGTGGTATATACAATTCTCTTTCTGGAGTTTTCATTGAAGAAAGGAGCAAACCAGATATATGAATAAATAATGTTGAAAGGAGTTAGTCACCTAGAAAATTCCATTAGCATTTCAAGCAAGAATTCAGATAAAAATCTTTACGTTTATTTTTTCTTTTATAACATATTGCCAATTCAATGCTTACTTTAGCTGTACAGATGTCATAAACATTTGATCCCAATCTTCCTTCCTGGAGTATACCCTCAAGGCTATGACACTGTCATGATCCGTGTAACATGCCACACTTGGCAGGCAGGCTCTGTCTTGATTTAAGAGACCAACCCCTTTCCAAGATACGCATTAGACATGGATTTCAGCCAAATTTCAGCACACACAGAGTATGTGAAATACCTGAACGCTGAAGCTATGCATCTCTTTTCTCTAAAAATAAATGTTCACTATTGCACTGATACCTTACATTTAATTCTCCTAGGAATGGACTATGTAAGAATAACAGATATAACCACTTGCATTTTAAGGTGTTATATGTTATTTAAAACTTGAGACTTTTAAAAGTAATTGTATATTTCTTCTTCCATAATGCTATAAAACATGTAAGCTAGTTGTTGCTGTATATTTTATTTATCATAGACTAATGAATTCGATTAATATGCATTGAAAACTTATAAAAAATGGTAACCTGTAGACTATACAAATAGCTATTATGGATCATTTTGATGATACACATCACTTTATGAGAGTCAGGAGCATCTTTTATGGTGATTTCCAACAATTTTACTGTTTTAAATTGCTACCCATTCAACTCTGATTCTTTTCTTTTTTTTTCTTAACTTGGAGAAAACCTACTTTTCATCTCTTATTTCACACATGGATAAATAGATTTCAGATAAATTTAACATTATTAAATCTCACAGCCAGTTAAAAGTAGATTCAGGATTAATAGTCAAATCCTCAGATGACTTTCATTATGTGAATAGTTTATTGATTATACTTTTATAATAAAAGTATATTGGTTATGAATTCAAATTTATTTCATGAATATTCATCAGAAGCTTAATATGCAACAGATGGTATACCAGGAACAGATATTATAGGGAATACAGATACATTAAAATATGCTGTTATAGGGTACTTGAAGAGTACTTGGAAGGGATATATATACAATTTGTAGAATCAGGAGGATTATTTTTTTTCCTAGTGGAACTGACATATGCTGACTCAAAAAAATCAGTAGATGTTTTTAAGGTAAAGAAATAGAAAGGCAGGTCAAAGCTTAAGAATGAAAAGGTATTATGCCAAAAAACCAGCTGCTATATGGGCTCCGAAATAAGAGAGCAATGTATCTGAGGGATGAAATGAAAGTTGGTCTGGACATACAGGATGCTACAAAAAGGAATGATGGAGATGAGGCAGAAGAAGTTAAACCAGACAGGCCACAAAAATGTCCTGATAAACCAGGTAGTCAAGTTTGTGTAACTGAAATCTAAATCTCCCTCTAGATGGAAAACACTAAAGGGGATCAAATAGACATGGATAGGAAGGGTTAAGATCATGAGTTTATTCTTAAACTTGCACATATCCAAATAGATATATCAAGCAGGCAGTTGTACAAACAAACTTGGAGATGAAACAAAAAGTCTGGCTGAAGATATAAGTTCATGAATTATTTGCATATCTGAAGTAGTAGGAATAGAGTGAAAGTAGAACAGCATCTGGAATAGGCAGAAGAAGAACACGCCCAAGATACAGCAGGAAAACCCGGTCATTGGTTATAACATGGAAACCAAGCAAGACACATGCGTGTTTCAAGAACCAAGTGGGGTGGTTAACCGTATGAATGTATTTGAAAGTCAGGTAAGAAGAAGATGGGAAGCTCTTCATTAGTTCCCATGAGATTCCTTGATGACAATAGAAAGATCTTTGTTGGTGGAATACAGATTAAAAGAAAACAAAAGGCTGGGAAACAGGCAGCTATTTTGAGAAGGGTGGCTATGATGAGATAAAAGTATAAGGTGGCTGTAAGCATATGTAAAAAAAAATTGAATGCAAATGATCCAACACAGACGAGATAAAATATGTAAGAGAAAGTAAGGAGTAACCTATAAAATAGCTAAAAAGGGAAGATATGATGGCATCTAAGGCACCATTGGAGGGACTAGCCATGTAAAGGAGGAATTAAAATTCTGCTATGTAGTAGAAGTAGGTGATATATCTTAAGTTAGGTTTAAATATTTTATAGCAGAAAGATAAGGAAGTAATCATCTGATGGCTGCCATTTTCCCTCCATTATGATGTGGACTGATTTGTCCTATTGTTTGGCTGTTTCCATTACCCGCTGTATGCAGGTGCTGCTCTGAGAAAGATTTTTCCCAGAGGGGTGCACTGAAATTGAGAAGCAGTGGAGTTCAGATTGGAAAGAGCATTACTGGAATGATGGAAAACACAGTCAAAGTACACTAAAGGGAGAAATAAAGAAGAGAGACAAGTGGCATCATGGTTAATGAAGTCAGATAATCCATCACCATTTTTGGTGACTGCAGCTTGATCACAGGTACCTACCAGGGGAAAGTATGAACAATTCTCCACTAATAAGGTAGCACATAATTTTTTAAAAATTATATTTTGAAATAATCAAAGACTTATAGGAGGTTCCAAAATGGTATACAGAAGTCTACATACTTTTCACTCAGTCTCCTTACGTGATTATATCTAAGTTACTGAAGTACAATGGCAAACCTAGGCAGCTGGCATTGGTATGTGTGTATAGTCTCCATTTTATTACATGTATAAATTTGTGTGACCACTGCCGCAACCAAGACATTCAACTTGTCCATCAGCACAAAGATCTTCCTTATGCTATCTCTTTATAGAAATCCCCATCCCTTTCTGCATTACCATCCCTAATCTCTGGCAACCACTAATTTGTTTTCTGTCTCATAATTCTGTCATTTCAAGAATGTTATCACATGAAATCATATGACATGTGACCTTTTGATATTGGCATTTTTTCACTCAGCATAATGCTCTGAGGTCTAGAAAGTTGCTGTATATAAGAATAATTTGCTACTTTTTTATTGTTGAATAGCATTCCACCACTCAGGAGTGTGATTTCTACATTGTAAGATAAATGTATACTTAGTTATTTAAGAAACTGCCAACAATTACAAGTGTGAGCCACTTTGCCCAGTCATTATTTTTTATTTTAGCTGTTCTAATAGGTATGCAGTATATATCATATTTTTAAATGTATATTTGTCAGTGTTTATAATTGCTATATGCCAGTAAAGGTAGAAAAAAATTAAAGTTCCGAAATTCTGGAAAATAATCTGTAAAATATCCTTACTATTGCTAAACACTTTGCAAACATAGAAGTCTACTTAGACGACGATGCTCTGGTTGGTTATACCTTCATCCAGGATAGCTTGCCACTGAAGTACATGCTTTGGGTACGAAGTTCTAACACTAAAGGCCTGACATTGCCAGTCTCTGAATCCAGGCAAACCTGCAGGACAAGGTGGATTCTCACATATTCTGTATTGTTTTCTGGGACCATTACAATCCCTTGCTTCAGAACCTAGCCTAGAAAAGATAGTACAAATAATCAAATTTTTTCTGTGTCCTTTTCACGTTAACTTCCCATTTTTTTAAAAGTAAAAACCATTTTACTAATAAGGTATAATTATTTCTATTACGTCTCCTTTTGAAAAGTTGACCCTAAATGATTGGTAGTAGTAGGAAATTGTTACATTTATTTTTCAAAAAAGCTATGCATTTCTTCCCATCTTTGATTGATCTATCTTCCAAAATACATGAGAAATAAAAGCCCACTTGATAAGAAAATGATATAGAGGACTAAAGGGCAGAGCCCAGGCGTAAAATAGAAAATCAAACTCACATGAAGAAGTTTGGTTCTCAGAATTATTAAGAATAAGCTTTCATATAAATTCATATAAATTATTTAGAACTGTGTGTGGTGGCACTGTGCTACTAGGCACCACACCAACAGAGTTAAAATTCACAAGCTAAAATGGCTTTCTTACTAGTTAAAACTCACAAGCTAAAATGACTTTCTTATTATTCCTAGGATTCCTCTAGGAATAATGAGATTGAACAAGCTGGTTTTGTCATACTCCCTGTCTGTATATGCGCTTAGCATGTTTTTGTTTTTCATTAGTCCTAGCTTGTATTGTCATTGTTTTTTTCCTCGTTTCTTTTATTTCTGAAGTCCTATCATCTTTCTGCTTATCTCATAGTTCCTTTAAATGCTCACATAATTTTTCTAATACAGATCTCACCTGCTTGCTTAAATACAACATTTTATTTAGTTTACTCATGAAATTGCCTTTTGTAGCTTCTGTTATTTACACTTATGAGTTGGTCTTTTTTGTCTTAAGGGTTGTTGTTATATAAAATACATAATTTAAGGGACTTTTCTGATTTGCAAAGTGCAATAGAGTTTGAGGGCCTTCTTTTGCTTTCCAACATACTTTATCAGGAAAACCTTCAATTTCAAAACTGAAGAAAAAAAACCCAGGAGCTTTGAGCTTACCCAGGACATTTGCGCTCTCGACTGCTGATCCCAGAACTGCAGGTTCGGCTGCAGGGACTCCACAGGCTCCACTCTCCAGCAAGATGTTCAGGTGCTGAGGTCCTGCTGGTACATTCTCCAGCCTTACACCACTATTCCAAAAGTTATGTCTTAGGTGAACAAATCAGGGCACAACTGAAAATCATTCACTGGCCTATATGGTCACTGGAATTTTAATTACATCAAGTCTACTAGATCCAACAACATATAGAATTTTAAAAGATCAAAAATAAGTTGGTGCTTGCTTTTTGTCACAGTAATACAATGTTCGGTTCTCATAGTTCTCATGCAAATTGTTCATACATTCTTGACACGAAAGCAACACACATATACTTGTTACTATGACCATGAGAATCCAGTAATTGCAATGGAGAGGGGAAATCTGAAGTTGTACAACAGAGAAAGAAAAAAACTAACACATTCTAATAAACAGATAATTTAAAAGAGACCAAAAAAGCACAGAGTAACATGTAAGAATGGAAAATAAGTGTCTTTCTATAACTAGTTCAAAGCAGATACTTTAGCAAATTTAGCAGTTTTGATTTGAGATGTCATTTGCTCAGCTCGGGGTACACTTTTCTTGCGATGAAAAAAATACATGATTTAATTTGAGCACTTTCCTTTATACTTTTATTTTTTTTCTGAAGTTCTCATCAATTTCAACCATTAACATTATAGCAAGTTTTCTCTTAAAAACCAAGTTGCTTGAAAGACGGGCAATTAGACACTAAAATTCTGTCACTTAATTCTAATTATTCTGTAAGCTTATTAATTTATTTGGATAAATGGGAAATATAAACGTAAAAGATGAGAAAGGGTGCAGTCATTCTCTCATTTATTTATTTATTTATTTTTCTTTAACTTAAAACAAAAGCTGTGAGAGAGGCTATTTCTATGGTTACCTAGGAATAGCTACAAGCACTTAGTGGACAGGTTATTATAATTTATACTTATTCCTAAAAATCAAGTATATGATGGGCATAGAAAACAAGCTAAAGGTAACAAAATGATTTTGAGAACAATGAGTAAAGATTACAAGTACTTAGACTAGTTGAGCAAGTTGATCTTTCTATCCCTAAATGATTTTCTGCACTTAATGGCAACAGGATTTACAAAGAATTTTGAAGAAATTACAAAAATGCTCTGATCTTCAGCTTGCTTATTTCTGAAACGTGAATGATAATCATGTTTACCTAACAGACTTTTTACAGGGGTCAAATGAAGCACTAAGCATAATATACAGGTCCTATTAAGGATTTAATAGAGGACAACTATGATAATATATTATTGTATGATATATCATTATATTAATGTTGTTAATAATAGTTTTCAGATATCTAACCACGATTTTGTTCATTTTGATATTAACTGATTTCTCTATCTTTATTTGTAACTTGTTTTGCTAATACACATTTTATTATATTTAAAAGAGGGAATACAGAAGGCTATCCATATAGTTTTGAGCTCAGTTAATGCTTTGCTATAATAAGAAATAAACTAATTATTCCCCTATAGAAGATCTCTAATGTCAATATTTAAATTAAACCTCTTTTAGATTCAAAACGTTTTAAATCTAAACTTGAAAAACAAGCCAGGCTTGGTGGCTCAGCCTGTAATCCCGCGCCTTGGGAAGTTGACGTGAGTAGATTGCCTGAGCCCGCAGGTTCAAGACCTGCCTGGGCAACTTGGTGAGACCCCATCTTTACAATAAATCAAAAACTAGCCAGCCGTGGTAGTGCGCGCCTGTAGTTCCTGCTACTCGGAAGGCTGAGGCGGAAGGATCGCCGGAGCCCAGCAGGTCGAGGCTGCGGTGGCCGGGAGCGGCCACTGCACTCCAGTCTGGGTGACAGTGAGAATCCAATGCAAAAAAACCCAAAAAACAACAAAAAAACACCAAAAACAAAATAAACCTCAACATCTCAAAGTACATCACTATGTTAAGATTGTCATTAAATAAATTGAGACTTTTGTACAAAGGTGCAGTACAAAAATTGGAAATTGAGGCAAAACCAAACCATGTGAAAATGTTTCTTACTTGTTTTAAGGGCTTAACAATGTTATGCAATTCATGGGGCAAAAAGAATCCAACGAGAAAGCTGTCAAACTTTAATGGGTCACATTGTTTTGGCCTACATGAGGGTGTTTATTTTTCCCAGAGTGCCTATCATAGCTCCTCGCCCATTTAGCAACAAACTGGCATTGAAAGGCTGGGCTAGAGTTTATAGCAGACTAAAAGGATTCTGGAAAGGACTGGGATCCAGACTTGCATATCATTTAATCTAGATCGCATCTGGCAGATGAAGAGAAACAGAATCTATCTGCATACACAAATCTGTAAACTATAAAAAAAAGTATAGCATGATAATAAATGTTTATCATCTTGCAGGTAGCCAGATCTCTGGAAGAAATTAGGGGAGACTTGTTTCTATGTATCCTAGATGGTGCTGTGCTTTAACAGTGAGGAAAGTGTTAAATGTTTTGTTATACAATGCATGATTATAAAATTCATATATACAGTGATCCTAATGGTGCTTTCCATAAATTTTCTAGCAGCATGCTCTGTTTCACACAACATTTGTATTTTTTTGACTCCCCAAAAGAAATTGCATAAGGTTTAAAACACTAAAAGTTTGTCTTATCTACTAATTCAGACTGATTTATGAATACACTAAAGGAATATATAATACAGACTATTTCTGGAACAGTATATGACCTGCAAATACTGGTTATATTTCTATTCCCCCCAATTTTTATGTGAGCATGTCTAGGAAGTTCATGAAAACACACAATTGAAAGAGGCCATGAAGATGTCATGGAAGCCTGACCATTCTCTGAGAAGAAGAGGAAGGAAGGCAAAAGTCTGTGTATATATGCACACTGTGATTGTCAAGGTGATTGTTCAGGTGATTCATCATTTCCAACAATGAATTATGATGGTAATTTCAAGAATCTCAATTTAGTAAGTAAATAGCTGAAATATATTACACAGATTCCTTTTGAACAGTCTAAAATTCTAGCAAATTGATATTTAACCTCTCTTTTCCATCTCTCCATTCTTACAAATATTGTATGCAAAAAGTCCACATTTATCAGTTTTTACTAAATCACCGACACTTTAACCTCTGTGAAATGTAGATGTAAAAACATTTATACTTGTATTTTAAATCTTAATTATAAAAATTATACAAAAATGACAGTGTAAAAAGGAAAAGGAGAGAAAAGCAAATTGCTTTCAATTTGAAAGATTTTGCCTATAAATAGTATATAAATCTCTATCTTCAAAATCAAATCATAGAATTCTGTAGGCATTGTCTCAGACTTAATTATATACTGTTAGATGAACTAGATTTAAACAGCTTGATTAACATCACTAGTGTGTTTTAAATTACAAAATCCCAAGCTTTGTTTCTTGGTTTGCAATGTACTAAGCTAGCAGTGCAAGGTTGCAAGCATTCAAATATTTTAGCACTACAGTACACAACAGCAAAGTGTTGGAAGTTATTTTCATGGTGAGTCTTACAACAGCTGGAACAGATGGATATTTGAAGAAGCCCACATGGCCTGAAAAACTGAAGTGGTCATTAGTTATTTTAATATCCCAAGCATTACAGAACCTCTAAAAGAATATTACTAATACAATCATAGGAAAATATAACATTGTAATTTTGTTTAGTAATTACAGTTTTAATTGCTGTAAAAAAAGTTTTAGAGATCTCAAGAATGCAAGATATTCTCATAAATTAGTAGAAAGATATTAAAGAAATGCCAGATTATGAAAATTAAGAGATTTTATGTTGGTAAAGAAGATGAATGGGTCATGTGGTTCTTGAGTGCTTATGGCAGAATGTTTGGTTATCTCCGAATATTATTGCTTTTGTGTTTTTGTGATGATAAAAAGTATTGCTAGTGCAAAGTTGTATGATTCAAGCAATAAATTACTCAGCATAATGTGATGCTTGCCTGATATACATACACATTGTTATACTTTGGTGTAAAATTTTTTTAAATTCTTTTTTTTACAAAATTTAAAATTTTTAAAAAAAAATTTTTTTTTAAAAATTTTTAAATTTTTTTAAATGGAGCATCAGACCCAAATTCTGATGCTCCATTTAAGTTCATAGAAAAATATTTGGCACAGTCTGTAAACAACTAACTGATTTTTCACAGACGTTCCCTCTGAAAAAACATTTTCTTATTAATAGTATATAGTGATAAAACTTTTCAGGTCTTTTAAAATATAGTTTGAATTTAAACAATTTGTACTTTTTTTAAGTTAAAGAAATCACAGAAGTAATAAATGACTACATGCTTATTAAACAATACAGAAATGTCTGCAGAAAAGTTATATTCACCCTTCCTTCCCATTGCTTTACTCCCATCCATCAAATTCACCCAAGAAGTGAATTACAGTGTGAAGTTTATATTTTTAGACCATCTTTTATAAGTATAAAACATATACTGTGTGTATATTCACATCTGTACACAAACTACATTTTCCTTAAATCTCAAATATTTCTGTAAAGTATCAATTTTTCTGACATGCTTATGTACTAACAACCATATCTTGTAGATCTCTTCATGTAACTACCTCATTTTAAAAAGCAGCTACACTATAACTATTAACTTCCTGATATTTTTGTTTGTTTATTTCTCATTTCTCTCCAGTACAGACTGCACCCTTAGATAGTATCTTTGTATGCATGTGAACGTGAGCATGAGAGTGTGTGTATCTGTGTGCGTATATACAAGTACTTCCTTAGGACAATTTTCTAGAAGTAGAATTGCTAGATTCTGACCTATTATTCAAATTATTGTGTTTTTAAGCTAACACCCCACATAATTTCTTTTTTCCCCAAGTAATTCACTCCAAGTAATCTATAGCTTCTTTATGTTGCTGTTTATTTCCAAATGTTATAAAATATTCAAGCTCTTCAGAGGCAAGCTTTCTGATCTTATAGTTAATGAGCAAAGTGATAACCATCTTACTTTCCTGTCATAGTATGCAAATTAGAAAACTATATAAACTATTGATCTGTTATATGTTTGACTAAATTAACCATAATTATTAATACATATAGAACTCATCTACTTCATATATCTCAAAGGAAAATTAATTTTAAACAGCAATTATTTTGATCTGGAAATGTATACTAGTAAATTTCTACTGGCTTGTGAAGCAAATTAAATTAAACTATGTAGACAATCGACTATTAACTAATCTCCAAATGTCAATTGGAATATTTAATTTATAATGCTTCGATTGACAAAGAAAAAATACTCAATTGCTCTCCTGAAATAATGTTTTATACATGAAAGGATATTTTGCTCTGAGAATTTTTACCATTTCTGCTATTATTTGTTTTAATATTACTTTTGTTTAATTTAAAATGCAAAAATACAATATTTTATTAAATATTAATACATATATCTGATTCTCAACATTATTATAATCACCAACAATTTTAAAAAATCAATATTAACAAAACCATAATCATATTTGAAAAAATTATAAAAGTTAAAAAATGATGAAATGTTAATGTTTTTGCATAAACTGAAATCATTTCATTAGTATTATGTGTTAGATACACATACAACTGAAAATAGAAAATGCAAGTTTCATTTAGTATGTTTCTTTAAATGCAGGCAACACAAATGACTTACCTTACCAGGGTCACAATCAGTTCCATCCATTGGTGGGTCTAGTTTCGTTCTGCATTCTTTCTCACCTTCTACCTTGCACCATAAACCCGTGCAAATTACATGCTGAAAAAAAGGGCACAATCACTAATAAGGGGAAGATGACATTTTTTAAAAGATTAAGCCAATAACTTTTTAGAAAGTTATTTTGGTAGAACGACAAAAATTATTTGAGGAAAAATATGCTTCAAAAGTATTTGAAGAAAAATAGGTCTGTTATAATTTTACTGAATCTGTCCTCACTCCCAATATTTTTGTCATTTTTTTAGATTTCTGAACTGTTGGTATTTTTAATATTATGCTTGTAATTAAAACTATATAGGGTTTCTTTATAGTGATGAGAAGATTGATACATAACAAAAAATCAGTTTAATAAAGTTAAATCTTTAAATTTTTTTTTTTAATTCGAGATGCCTTTTATTTTGCTCTTTATGTTTGCTTGAGTTTCATGCATAAGCAGTTATAAAAAAAAAAAAAAAAAAAAAACCCAGTCAGGGTCGGTGGCTCAGCCTGTAATCCCGCGCCTTTGGGAGGCTGAGGTGAGTGGATTGCCTGAGCCTGCAGGTTCGAGACCGACCTGGGCAGCAAGATCTCATCTCTATAATAAATCAAAAAATCAGCCAGGCGTGGTAGCGCATGCCTGTAATTCCGGCTACTCGGAAGGCTGAGGCGGAAGGATGGCCGGAGCCCAGCAGGTCGAGGCTGCGGTGGTCGGGAGTGGCCACTGCACTCCAGTCTGGGCGACAGAGTGAGACTCCAACTCAAAACAAAAACAAAAACAAAAACAAACCAAAAACCCTACCAAAACACCCTACCAAAAAATTTTCCTTCCAAATTCCCCCAGAAGATCCATCTTCATGTTTTAATCAAAATGAAGCTGAATAATATGTCTTGGTATTACCAAATGTTGTTTTATGATATTATGAGGGATGAGTACTAGGCAACTGCATTTCAGACATTTCAAAAACCCCAGGGATAGGTTTTTAAATATTATTTGATTTTTTTTTTACATGGTTATACAAGAGGATGTAGATACAACAGAAAAATTTAAGCTACAAATAACTATTTATACCATCATATGGACCAGGCTAGAATTAGTGTCTGTGTTTTTAGTATGAATTCAGTGTCTCCTGCCATAAAGTCTGTCTCTAAAAAGGCTATGCTTTTTGGATTATATGCCACATCTAGTACTTCATTATTTCCCTACATAGTCTTGACCCCGATACAATACAAACTCTTGGTGTGTATGTTTGTGTAAGTTGTTATAATTAATTTTTACCTCAGTATGAATGAGTTTTAGATCTTCAGAATGCAATGCCATTTTTCTAGGGAAATGTTAAAGGGAATAAAAAATACTGATAAAGTAGCTGAGATATGGTAACAATAAGAGAACTCTGAGGAAATGTACGAGGAAAGACCATCACAAACCTTAGCCACAGCTATGACTGAGGCCGGCCCTGAGACATAGATATGAAGAGGCCAATGGATATATTCATATACTTTCTATTTCTGTAAGATGGTGGCAATTTTTTTAGACACAAGCATATTGCTAACAATTTCACAGAAATATAAAATGAATAAGGGACGTTTTTAAAGGTAGCAGAGTATTTAATCTGTAATAAAGATAACTGTGTTATCATCTATCCAGGTACCAGGCAGGAGGGAAGAGGAGAACAGGTCAATAGAGATAGAATAAGTGGCAATGTGAAAGACATAGGAAAAAGTGAGAGGACCAGTGTAACAGGGAATAGTCACATAATGGAAGAGAGTAGTGAAGAACAAGTGTGAAAAAACAGAAGAACCAGGAAGGACTAGGGGACTCCACATTTGTAGGAAAGAGAAAGTCATTTAGTTGACCAGTAGCAAGCTGATAAAATAAAAAGGTTATTTTAGGGAACTTACTCTAGTGGTGATATTCAAAACACACTAAAAATCACAGCAAAATTAAAGCTAACTTAGGACCCAAATCTATTAAATTAAATAATGTTGTAAAATATATTTAAATGAATATTTCAAATAGATACACCACAATTCTAATACTGAATTTGACACAATTCCCAAAATATTATTTCTGTATTATTTAGATTTCTGAACTGTTTGTAAGCTCTTAAAACTAAATACCCTATGATGAGGGTGAGATATATGTTATTATTTTATCTGCTGTACTGTTTTTTCAACTTCAGAACATAATATATCGTATTATATTTAGGTCATGATTTATCTTGTGTACTTCTATTTGCACATACCATACACCAAAAATTCATCTAGAAAATTATCTTAAATTATATGGCTCCTTTGTAATATTTAGACCTTTGAAAATAAGCAGATATCAATTGTACTTCATGAGCTTTTGTGGACACATTTATATTTAAATTAACAAATCTCTAACCTGAGAATTTTGTATCTTGTTTTTCACCCCTGCTAAAACCTTTGTTAGGTTTTGTAATCATGGGGTCAAATGCTGAGTTTTCCATAAAAGAAGAGCTTTACTTTACTGGTAGTCAATAAGCTTAGAATTATTTTAGTCAAGTTTATTAGTTAACCAATGCATATTAAACTTAAAAGCAAATCTTCTATGCCGTAGTTTTGAATAATCTTGTTGAACATTGTTGGTGGTCTAAATTCTGCCCTTCCACCATTATCTGCTATTCAAAACAGCAGGTACTCTAATTGATTCCCACTTGAGGCACTGAGAGCATAAAAGCAAACTTGGCAGCTTTTCAAGATAAGCAAGTCATGTAGAATAAATCTCTCATAGGGATCTCTTTTACCCTTTCTGTTCTGCTGGTCTAGGAATCTTATGTTCAGTAATTTACAGCCTCAGTCTTTAAAATAATTCAAATTCAGAAGTTCAATCCTAATTGTCATATAAAGCAAGAAAATGTTGAAGAAATGGCATGAACTGTCTTCACCTTGAAAAGTGGAGTATCTCATATATGTGATATTAGAGCTATGTAACACCAAGAGACAAGATGTGGAGTTACATTAGAGCCAAACACTTTCCATATGTTTCATAGGCAAGAGTCAGATATTTTTTTCAATGTAGTTGCTGAAACCACTTAATATGCCAGTAAAAACAAAACAAAACACAACAAAACACACACACACACACACACACACACACACACACACACACACAAACCTTTGAAACAGAAATTCCTGACAAACTAACAAAAGTGATTCAATATTTCTTTTTGATTTTTCTATACTAAAAAGAGATCATTAAAGGCATATAACACGGATTTAGATGTTTATCTCAAGCAGGCTTTTAAAATGTTTACATGAATGTACTATATTTAAATAGAAGACTGATGGTAAAGTACAAATACTATAAAATTTGTTTTCAAAATTAATCTGTACCCGTGTCTTCCTTTATAGCAATCGATTCCATTAACATGTCCTGAAATTTATGTCAAAATAAAACAATCTTAAGTACATATACGTGGAAGTAACAATTAATCCTTGTACACATAACTCTTTGCTCTTCCATGCACTATTCCCCAAAATACAATTTATATAATTCAACTAGAAAATAAGTTTTAAAAAGTATTATTTCCCAATGACAGAATACCTTATTATAATCATTGAGGATGGTGTGTGTGTGTGTGTGTGTGTGTGTGTGTATGGGGGGGAGAGAAAACAAAAATAGAAAAACAAGGTTCAAAAGAAATAAAAGGGTTGAAATTAAATTATTTGTAACCACTAATAAAATTGGAAATGAATATAGAAAACAGAGAAGGTAAAAAAAAAAAATCCACTATTAGGAATAAAAAATGAAGATGTAACTACAGGTAACAGTTTAAACAGAAAATAGATAACTATGATGATCAAATTTATGCCAATAAACTTAACAATTTATATTAAATGGAAAAATACTAAAAAATTAAAACTTACTAAAATAGACCCAAAATAAGTAGAAAAGCTGGAGAGTTCTATAACTGTAGAGCAGTTAAAATTCTTTGTTGGAAATTCTCCCACAAATACACCTGGTTCAAAAAAATAACAATCTATCAAGAAACGTATATTCTCAACTTACATAAACTCTCTAGAGAACAAAGAAAGAAAGTACAATTTCTAAACTTTATAATAACCAAACCAGAGAAGGATAAGAGTAAAATTAGTGATCTACTCTTTAAATATGCTAGACAATTTTAACAGATTGAGTCCAGCAACGCACCAAGACTAAATCAAAATTTTTTCTCAGAATATAAGATTAGTTTAATATTAGGGACTTTGTTAATATAATCAAGCACATCAATAACTTAAAAGCCTATGATTTTATATCTACAGATATAAAGTGTACGACGTTCACTTTTCAACATTCATTAAATCTTAAGCAAGTTAGTAATTAGAGGAATTTTTTGACAATTATAGGACATCTATAAAAATATACAGCAAATATCATAATAAATAGCAAGTTTTCTTTAAGTTTTCTTCTAGGATCAGGAACATGGCATAGATGACATTTTGGCATCAATGTAAGAAAATGAATATATGATATATTCAAAAAGCAAAAGAGAAAAAAAAAATCTATCAATCTACACTCCTGAACTCAGCTAAATATTTATTTATGATTAGAGGTAAAAGAAAGAAAAAAAACTATTAAACTACACTCCTGAACTCAGCTAAAATTTTATTCAAAATAAATAACCTTTCAAGGAAACAACAATTGAGTGTTTACCATAATACATTTGACAAAAAGGTGCTTCTAAAGGACATTTTTTAAGAAAAATAAATACAATAGTATAGGAAAACCTGAAAAGCAATGGTGAGCAGAGACTGATAAAAGTGAGGATAAATGTAAATAAACACTGACTATATAAAGTAATAATAATTGGACTTTAACCATTAATTATAAATTATTTTTAGTGGCAAGAAATACTAGAAATATAGCTCATTACATCCTCCATACTTTATCCTTTAACAGAGATTTCACCACTGCAATAGGAATTAGTTTGGCATCTTATCTTTCTCTTTCTCCACTCCACATACTTTAAGATAGCTAGTAGAATTTGAGCAGAAGGCATGGAAAGGATAATTCAATCTATTCATAGCCAATGAATGAA